CGATAACCCCACCCCCCAACTAACAAAAAGCCTTCCCCCCTCCTATTCATTAACTATGTAGTATCACACCTGTTTGGGAGTTTGAAAGCGTTCCCTGAGGTAGACAGTTTTAAATTCGTTTCTTCTTACTGCCGATTCAGGTATAACCAGATCTTCTAAAGCACAAGCCGCTTTGTTCATTGGCTACACCTGCCAAAGTGGCATATGTCCCTTACACCAACAATCTGATATTCCCTGTTTCCTTTTATTCGAGGTAGGTAAAGTGGGCTCTTGAGGGGAATGTATCATGCCGAGGGTTTCCTTGAAGAGCCTTCCCTGAGAATATGGGGAAACGAGTTACTTTCCATAGGGTCTTTGCATTACCTATGACTCTTACAGCTGTTGCAGCTGGTATCCATGGTAACTTTGAGCGGCGCGCGAAATCCTACCTTTTACACGTTGTCCAACGGCGCCTGGCCTTCACCACCACAATAAGTCCATATTCAAAGCTATAAAGCTATGCTTTGTTTATTTACTCATTTTTGTTTTGCTTAAGGAAGGATCTGAGCCTTGTGCCCTGAAAAAATTCTGTTCAATCCTAGTACATCCGCTACCCTTTTATTCGTTCAGTTCTTTATTTCTAATTCGCTGTCCATAACAAATTATTGGAGAAAGAAGCGTTTCTGGTCCTTGCGATAGAGCTGTTCCCGGTCAGGTTGGATATTGAAAGCCTATTCAGCCTAGTGGACTGGTACGACTTCAGAGACAGTTGGAATGAGACGCGATATCGCTGTTCCCATGTTACCAGAAAAAAACGCCCCCGCCATTACCATCATATACCTCCTAAAAGTGTTACATGAGCCCTTTTCCCATGCTCTGTTTGGGCACCGTTTGGTCTATATTGCTTTTGATGATTGTCTTCAATTTGTGACTTAATAACTTTATTTCTTATGACAGTTGTATCAAAGCGCCGTTTTAGTCACACACACACACACACACACACTAAAACGCTCACTACCTACTTTCAGAAATCTAAAGCCTAGAATTCCTGAGTGCAAAGTTATTAGGCGGCTGGTTATTTATATGCTTCCTCTACGTAACACTACTTATGGTCACTACCGCCATGATATCATCAAAATATATGCTGAACCAGAAGTTTCCCTCTGAAAAGCATATGAGGCTATGCCGGCTGTTGCAGGTCACCGTAGGAACCGCATCACGCTATCTGACTTGAGTGTAACTCTCATTGCGTTCTCCTTTCCTGCGTTTATCTTTGTTTTTCTTTTCCTTCTGCCTTTTAACCCCACACCCTCCTTCTCGAATTATTTTCTTTTAAGCTCAGACAAAATGAGGACGTATTTCAGGGTAACAATGTCGAAAGACGATGAGAAAGATGTCCGAAGAACATATCTTCTACGGGTTGCTAGCCACATNCCCTTTTCCCATGCTCTGTTTGGGCACCGTTTGGTCTATATTGCTTTTGATGATTGTCTTCAATTTGTGACTTAATAACTTTATTTCTTATGACAGTTGTATCAAAGCGCCGTTTTAGTCACACACACACACACACACACACTAAAACGCTCACTACCTACTTTCAGAAATCTAAAGCCTAGAATTCCTGAGTGCAAAGTTATTAGGCGGCTGGTTATTTATATGCTTCCTCTACGTAACACTACTTATGGTCACTACCGCCATGATATCATCAAAATATATGCTGAACCAGAAGTTTCCCTCTGAAAAGCATATGAGGCTATGCCGGCTGTTGCAGGTCACCGTAGGAACCGCATCACGCTATCTGACTTGAGTGTAACTCTCATTGCGTTCTCCTTTCCTGCGTTTATCTTTGTTTTTCTTTTCCTTCTGCCTTTTAACCCCACACCCTCCTTCTCGAATTATTTTCTTTTAAGCTCAGATAAAAATGACGAGCATTTCAGGGTAACAATGTCGAAAGACGATGAGAAAGATGTCCGAAGAACATATCTTCTACGGGTTGCTAGCCACATTCTCGGGTTAAACATTGTCGAAGAGAAACTTCGACAACTTCAGCCAATTGAAACTTTCTGCGATACAAATGCGATGCTTTTGATCGTTTCTCTCACAGAACAGGTACTGAGTTTTTGAGTTGATATCTGACGTTGAATAAGCCATTCCAGAAAGCCACACTCTCAGAATATACATGGTCCCATCTCTTTAGAGGCCATCCTGATTGTTACTGATTTCACATCTTAAACCGAAGAAGACAGACAGCAATTCCTTATCGCAATTCTTCTAAAGGTCTTATGACTGATCAAGAGAGCGAGAGAACTTGTGTGTTGACTGGGTGCAAAAGGTAGAGCTCCCTAGTGTTGCCACAGAATCTTGCCAATGTTGCCATCAGAATGCACGCCTCACTATGTCCGAAACGGTTTTTAACAACGCCCTTGAACTAATATTCAAGGAATGCAGCTTTCCGGTTCAGAGTTGCCTATAAAAAATGATTTCGAAATTGCTGGCGGTCCTAAACTGACAGGAAATCATCCACTGATATTTTTTTTTATTCTTTTTATTCTTCATTAATTCAGCGTGGGATCGAACTGTCAAATACGATGAAATCAAGTACACTTCCTCGTGTGGTCTTCTACAAAACTCGTCCAACAGTACTCACAACTGAAAACTACAAAGCGATGGTGAATGTGATGTCTATGATCGGAGCGTCCAATGAAGTGTTTCTGAAGAGTGTACAGAATGTGAGTGTCGAATCTATCCATTTATTTCTTCTTGATTATCCTTTTTTACCATATGCCTCAAAAAGGAAGAAAATGACACGTCAAGTCAAAGAGGTGACATGAAGCAGTCTAAGCATTTCGGAGGCCACTTCAATAGGATCATGAGCTTAACATTAGACCCAAAGCTACGCAGGCACTCTGCGGCAAGTTTGTTGACCTGTTCAGCAGCTAGCATCTGATCAACCACACTGCAGTAGACTACTCCCTGAACGGTTGGCTTCACTGCGTGACTGAGGAGCCCGACGGCCTCTCCTCTCATCTTACACTTCTAACTGGGAAGGGGAAGTGTATAAGAACATTACAACAAAAAAGTAATGTAAAGAAGTACAAAACTGAGTGTCGAATTTTCATATTAGGTTGTAAAATCCATCGCTTGCGCAGTAAATCACTGCAATGTATGAAGTTTGTTTAATCCTAGAGAAATACCATTTCTCAAAAACTCGTTCGGATGCCGCTACTTCACGCCCCTGCGTCGCCACCATTTACCCGTGGGGAATGATTCATCAAATTATGAAATATTCCTACCACCTTCCGCCATTAAAAATTTCAAAGTGGTGGTTTTCCATGAGCTTCCAGCAGTACCTACACTTATGTGATTGCAATGCAGTTATCCACCTTTGCAGGTTTTCAGTAAGGATATTGCTGAATCTCTCCAAACCACATCTAATAAGCACCTGTTGTCACTTGTAAGCGAACTTGAAGAAAATTTACTTGCAACTGTCGATAGCGGAAAGGACCGAGGAGAAGGTAGCAGCACGTTTCAATGATCGATATGCATAAAATGTATTTGTCGTTTGTAGGCGGAGTCGTCTCACTCGCTGACGAGATACGAGTTTGGAAGTCACGTAGCGGGACAGCTGCTCAGCAGTACAATGAAGCCTTTGAACCGTTACAGATCATTCTCGACACGATCGAGGTGAGTTCCAAACGAGGAAAGCTCGAAACCAGCACATCCGAGAACTAGCTAAGTTGTTGATTCGAAAAGTTCAGACCAATTCCTGCAGTTTACTGCCATTGAAGCCTTTCACTGCGTTAATCAATATTTATATTTTTTGCAGTTTAGATTTTCCTCAGCTAAGCTGCAATATGTCTTTGAAAATACCAGCCAATAATTCTCATTTCTCTAATCTCAAAACGTTTTGAATTGCAGGATCGCCCAGCCGATGAGCTCATTGGGCTTGTGGAGGCGTTTGAAGACACCTGCGACGCCCTATGGAACAGTCAGCCACCGTATCCGGAAAATAGGATGCGTAGCCTTATTCTATGCATGGGTGAGTCTCATGAAGCCTACCACAACCCTGATGAGAGCTGGAGAGCTTGATCACAATAACTGCTTCGTCCTTAAGCGATCGCGTTGGTCTGCATCCTCCTAGATCATGATTTTTTGAGCACATCTCTTTGATGGCTTGATGGTTATCCACAAAGACCTGCTCTGGTGGAGTACTCGTGAAGCTGCCCCTAGTTATAACCTTAAATGAAATCTTTGAGTCATGCATTGATCCGCTCTCAGAAGAAACCCTAAAATTGGCGGTGTAGGGTACAGGAGCTTGCTGAAGATTCTCGTCTGCTGTGTTCCAAGTTCAACGTCGGTCTGCTTCCGAATGGAATGTATGGTAGGCATCGAAACTGTATTGGAAACGCCTCAATGATCACGTATAAAAGGAGAGTTTTGATAGGATCGTATGCGTGAGGCCCTAGGTGGGAGAAGACAGAACACCCTCGAACCGCGATCTTCCGAACAGTCTTTTTCGTGACCACGTGTCGGGTGATTGTCAGCGGAGCACGAAATCGATCAAAGATTTCGTGTAGCCAAGCAGAAAATAAGTAGTTCTCGGCAATGACGTGGTACTCAAGAGAACAGGGAAGAGCGGCCTGCTATGGTAAAACCTCTATTCAAAGCGCCGAGGGTCAATCACCCTGGATTAGAGGTCTTGCCAGGTAGCTTTGGCAATATTCTATCAATTATTCACGCTTTATTGCTCCCATTTCTCATAACTGTCTTTTCTAGACTTTCTAGATTTTGTAAACATTCTATTAGTACGTCCGATACTAGTATCAGTTGAATTCTAGTATTAATATTAACCTATTCAATACGTTTTTTGTATGGGCAAATGTAAAATCGCCATTTTTATTAATTTTTGAATTTTAAAGGGAGTGGTTTTCCTAACTCAATTTTATATTTATTTTTATTAATCCATTACCATCTCATTTCAGCATCATATCTATGTGAACAGGTGTCAGCGAAAATCGATGGAGAAAAATTGTGGAAAGAACCCGAAGTGATCGAGCAACTGAACGCAGGTCAGAGATTTTAACTAGAATGTTACTCTATAGAAAAGGTTAGGAGGGGCCGTAGCACTGAAGCATTATCTATCTCAGTAGGGACTGACTTCCAGCAGATCATTTTCGTTTTAAATTAATGCAGCCAGAGTCCCTATCTGCCCACAGTGCACCGCATATTCATATAATAATTAGTTGTCGCGCTGCAACTGCCTACCAATGAACTTTATTCCTAATTGGATGATATGAGAGCAACGAGCGTGACGAGTTGCCTTTACACTTCCACTTGGGGTTTCTACAGTCATGCCTCCGGGAGTTTGCTACCTTGACAATCAATGAGAATGACACTGGCACTTGTCTGCGCCCCTTCTTCGAAAGAGAGTCTGTGGTATACCTCCTGGGCACACTGTGTTCGTGGAGATGCAGGTTCACGTGGTTAGCGTGGTTTTAGGGCAACTGGCTAGCCGATCGGGCACATAGGGTATAAAGCTCCTCCGTTAATAATAGTCCGTCACCTTATCTTAGGTTGATGCATAATTATTGCGGATTTTTTTGCGGTTTTTTTTTTCTCTGGGTAGACATTTAGGGTTGAGTTCGGATTTTTTTAGAAATGATCTGCTTGGTTTCCTCTACAAAAATGTACTTAGAAACCATCTGCATATTCGCGAAATCAAGCTCTACCACTTCGAGAAAGGTTGAAAGGTACCAGAGTCATTCCGCAATCTCAGTAACTTTTCGGCGATGGACCAATCAGCCAAATCCAACGAGGAAATGGGATTTGCTCCTAATTCTGCCATATTCACCAGCAGAAACTTTTATGGATTATATCGTCAACTGTTTGCTGGCGAAGGGGCTAGGGACTAGAAGTTACGTCGATTTGGGTGTCTTGATGGCGGATGTCAAGGCTTGGATCGCCCCCAAAGTTCGCAACTTCTTCGCTTTTGGAATCCGACTAACTAGCCAGTGGGAAGCAGTGCTTGACGTAGATGGTGGATAAGTTCCGGGGCAATAATTTGAACATGCTTTTGTTCAATATTTTTATCGTTTCGTTAAATAAAATTTGTTGAAAAAATCCGCAATAATTAGCATCAACCTAATACGTAGAGTTGGTCCTGAAACTGCTAGTATAAGATAGAAGAAAGTAAAATTCTCGGTATTTTCTGACAAAAATCAGGGTTAGTGAGCTTTATAGAGCAGAGTGGGAACAAATAACTCTCTCCCTCTTTAACCAACCCATCCAATACACGAAAAGCGGAATTTTTAAGGTATCGCGGCATGCACGCAGTGGGATCTGTCTGTGCAATTGATGACCGGACAGACATGGAAGCGTCAGGCGGAAGACGCTTGGAAAGGCGAACCGGTTGATATGAAATATTTGCAAGGATTTAAGAAGAGGCTTGAGGAGGTACGTCATGCATTTGAAAAAGGCCTTTTTCGCCCTTCCATCTTGATTTTTTTCGCTCAAATACACATATTTGAGAATGCAGAATTCAACCTGCTGCTATGCTTTTACGCTTTTGTTTTGTACTAAAGCATTTGATTCGTTTGATGATCAGATTCAGAGAGAGAGGGCCAACCAGATTGATGATTCTTTAGTTAGTTCCCTTTTTTAGGTACTGTCTCTGAAGCAACTCGGTCCTCAAATCGGCCTACTACTAAATGAACGTGGTGCGGAAGCAGAAGTGGAGAAAACGATTGAGACTGCTATGAGGAACACAGCTGTACTTGCCTACAACCCGTTTACAGAACACAACTGGAAGTCTAAAGTGCTTGTGAGTATTTACTGGGCACCTTTTTGATCGGAAACATCATCAATTTGTCACGGAAGCAGCGAAGTTTTCGTTAAAACCTAAGCTGATCCCATTACGGTACTGTATTGGAGATCCTATCTCCCAAGCTTAAAAAGGAGGCAAAGGGATAGCTGAGTGTTCTAACATCCAAACTCCTCCTGATGCACAGCTTTCCATCCAACGGTCTTATAACGACTCTTGAAGAGAAGGGAACGCTAATGTAGCTACTAAGTGGCCTACAGGGGCACAGGGGCAAAAACCCTTTGCTTTTTTGAGTGCTCACAAA